GGGGGGGGGGGGGGGGGGCAGCACCGGGCTGGGGAACACTGAGCCACAGGAGACAAGAGCACCAGTTAACATTGCCCCAGCCTTGGGAGCTGATGTATGGCCAGGGCCCAGCTGTGCTGGGGGCTGCTCAGCGCCTGCCCCACAGAGGGAGGGGCCTCCCGCCACTCCAAGTGCAGGCCAGGACCTGGCACTGGCCCTGCTCAGCCAAGCGCAGGCAGCAGCTCTGGGCACAGAGCCAAGGGCCCTGCCTGCGACACACTGAAGCTGAAAGCCTTACTGCCTTCCCTGTCCCAGGCAGAGCTGTGGCACTGCGCTCCACCCCGCAGCCAGGGCAGGGCCAGGCCCGTTCTGCCCCCAGGAGCCCCGGACCAGGGAGAAGAGCAGCCCCAGGATGGCACCCCCGGGAGGCAGGCAGGGTCCCATTCCCCCTCGTGGATGGCCCAGTGGTATACAGCTGGTCACGCACAGACCCAGGGGAAGGGAGGCGGGCTGGGCCTACTGCCCCCATTGTTCAAGTTCCCCATGGGGCAAGGGCCAGAACAAAACAAGTGGCCCTTGGGCCCCCGAGTTTCCCCTCCCCTGCCTGAGCTGCGGAGCAGGCAGGGGCCAGCCTAGGACGCCTGGCAGGCAGATGCCCCCCTGCCCCCAGGCCTGGTGCTAGGGGACAGCTGCCTTCCCCAATGCAGCCTCTGGGGCCCCCCAGGCAGCAGCACCAGGAGCCTGGGGAGTGACGGAGCCAGGGCACCTGTGCACATGTTGGGGTCAGCCAAGAAACCAGATGAGCCGGGGCTGGAGCCAGCTGAGGAGACCATTTATTGGTAGAGAGAGCTGCGGGGAGTACAGGAGAGTGTGGGGCAGGGGGTGGCATGGCCTACTCCTCCCCCTCTTCCTCATCCTCATAAGAATCGATGCCCACCTCCTCGTAATCCTTCTCCAGGGCAGCCATATCCTCACGTGCCTCTGAGAACTCCCCCTCCTCCATGCCCTCGCCCACATACCAGTGCACGAAGGCACGCTTGGCATACATCAGGTCAAACTTGTGATCCAGGCGCGCCCAGGCCTCTGCGATGGCCGTGGTGTTGCTGAGCATACACACGGCGCGCTGCACCTTGGCCAGGTCGCCGCCGGGCACTGCCGTTGGGGGCTGGTAGTTGATGCCCACCTTGAAGCCGGTCGGGCACCAGTCCACAAACTGGATGCTGCGCTTGGTTTTGATGGCGGCGATGGCAGCGTTGACGTCTTTGGGCACCACGTCGCCGCGGTAGAGCAGGCAGCAGGCCATGTACTTGCCGTGGCGGGGGTCGCACTTCACCATCTGGTTGGCTGGCTCAAAGCAGGAGTTGGTGATCTCAGCCACCGACATCTGCTCGTGGTAGGCCTTCTCGGCCGAGATGACAGGGGCGTACGTGGCCAGGGGGAAGTGGATGCGGGGGTAGGGCACCAGGTTGGTCTGGAACTCGGTCAGGTCCACATTGAGGGCCCCGTCAAAGCGCAACGAGGCCGTGATGGACGACACGATCTGGCTGATGAGGCGGTTGAGGTTGGTGTAGGTGGGGCGCTCGATGTCCAGGTTGCGGCGGCAGATGTCGTAGATGGCCTCGTTGTCCACCATGAAGGCGCAGTCCGAGTGCTCCAGCGTGGTGTGCGTAGTCAGGATGGAGTTGTAGGGCTCGACCACGGCCGTGGAGACCTGTGGGGCCGGGTAGATGGCGAACTCCAGCTTGGACTTCTTGCCGTAGTCCACGGACAGGCGCTCCATCAGCAGGGAGGTGAAGCCGGAGCCGGTGCCTCCCCCGAAGCTGTGGAAGACCAGGAAGCCCTGGAGCCCAGTGCACTGGTCAGCCTGCGGGGAGAAAGAAGTCGGGTCAGAACTACAGATGGACATTACAGAGGCCTGGACCCCAACCCCCTCCCGCCAACTCTCCTCGCGGGCCACACCAGCTTGCGGATGCGGTCCAGCACGGGGTCGATGATCTCCTTGCCGATGGTGTAGTGCCCACGGGCGTAATTATTGGCCGCATCCTCCTTGCCCGTGATGAGCTGCTCAGGGTGGAAGAGCTGCCGGTAGGGCCCGGTGCGCACCTCGTCTGTGGGACAGGACGAGGGGTTTGGACCTGAGCTCTCCCCAGCCTCCCCCTCCACGGCTGCTTCACAGCTGCCGCAGCCAGGTCTTGGCCAGGCCGGGAGCCAAGCACTTCCAGCCCCACACCGCACCACGGCTTCCCGAGACACCCAGCAGGTCGGGGGCAGCTCCTGTGCCCCCCTCTCAACACAAAGCTTTGCCCTGGACCCGGGGGCTGCAGGGACCCTCCCAGGGGCAGGACAAGGGGGACCCCAGGCAGGCGCCACACTCACCGATCACGGTGGGCTCCAGGTCCACAAAGATAGCCCTGGGCACGTGCTTGCCGGCCCCGGTCTCGCAGAAGAAGGTGGTGAAGGAGTCGTCCCCGCCGCCGATGGTCTTGTCGCTAGGCATCTGCCCGTCGGGCTGGATGCCGTGCTCCAGGCAGTACAGCTCCCAGCAGGCGTTGCCCATCTGCACGCCCGCCTGGCCCACGTGCACGGAGATGCACTCGCGCTGCGGGAGAGGGAGGCTCAGAGCCGGGCGCGCAGCGCCGAGCGCCGCCAGGCCTGGCCGGGGGGTGCGGGGTGGGGGGTGGCGGCGCGGCCTGGAGCCGCTTACGTAAGAGGCCGCGCGCTGC